GGGTCAGCAGTTTCTATCCATTGGTTAGGTGCAAACATCTGCATCTGACTCTTTCATATGCTTGTTGAGTCTTTCAGAGGGCAGTCATGGTAGGTCCCTTTTTGTGAGTGCTACATAGCCTCAGTAATAGTGTCAGGCCTTGGGACCTCCCATTGAGCTGGATCCCAATTTGGGCCTGTAGCTTGACTTTCTTTTCCTCAGGTTCCTCTCCATTTCCATCCCTGTAGTTCTTCCAGACAGGAACAATTATCGATCAGAGTTTTGACTGTGGAATGGCAACTCCCTCCCTCACTTGATGCCCTTTTTTTTTTCTGCTGGAGTTGGCTCTATAAGTTCCCTTCCCTTACTGTCTGGCATTTTATCTAAGGCCCCATCCTTTGAATCCTGAGAGTTTCTCACCTCCCAGGTCTCTAGTGCATTTTGCAGGCAAATGGATAAAACTAGAAAATATCATCCTGAGTCAGGTAACTCAGAGCCAAAAGGACATGCATGGTATGTATTCACTAATAAGTGCATATTAGTCAAAAAAGGACAATACCCAAAATGCACTCCACAGATCTCAAAAAGGTCAACAAGCAGAAGGGCCTGAATGAGGACGCATACCTCACTCCCACTTGGGAGAGAGAAGAAAGAAATCACAAATGGGGGAGGGAAGGATATAAGAAGGAAAGTGAACAGAGTGGGGAGAGGGGACCTGATCTGGTATTTGGTGAGGATTGAATCCTTGAGGGCCAGCAGAAAGAATGGAAACAAGTAACATTGGGAGATGGGAGGTAATTAAGATTTTAATCATGGCATCTGGAGAGATTAAACAACACTTAAGTGTGCATACTTTTTTTTAGAGTAATGAGTTCCAGTCCTAGCACTTCAACTATCTGTAACTCCAGATTTACAAAATTGCATGACTCTGGCCTCTCAAAGTATATGCACTCATGTGCAAACATCCATATAAAGAGAGATTTGTTGGGGTCCCTAGGTCACCACACAAACCACACACACATTGATCTCAGTCATACAGGAATAGTTAATTACACTTTTACCCCAGGACTGAATGATTTGGGCTGCAGATCCAAGTGTTTCTCAGGGCCATTTTATGAAGGAAAAAAACCACAATAAGCCCATGTACAGGTGCAAGAAGAGCTGCTGGTAGTGGACTCTGACTGTGGCTACTTTGGCTAGCTACACAAAACATTTCTGACTGACCTTTATCCTAAAGTGTTCTAAATGGAGTTTATGGTCATGGAATTTCTTAGATTTAACAAACCTCACAACATAACAGGGTATATGTAATCAGCTTGACACTGCTCCAAGTCAAGCTATTGTTATGTGTTAATAACAATGTGAAATATCTGGCAGACATGGAACCAAATGGCTACAGCTAGGCTGGGAGAGTAGGCTTCAACAACACTCACACTAATACATGAATAAAAATGATAAAAATAAGTCCTTAAAATGATTTAGTCATTCTGAAAATGAAGTTGTGTTGATGCATTGAGTAAAAAGTATTAATAAATTGCATGATATTTTGATTATCACTCTCTCTAATACAAAAGAATCTGTGAGAGCCATCAGTAAAACATCTGCACTTGCCTCAGCATGTCCACACTGATGTCACACAAACACACACAAGCACACACAAACACACACAAACACATGCACACACTTTTACTTCCTTAAAAAATAATTTCAAATTAACTGTACTAAATCAATTCAATGAAAACAACTAGTTGCTGATAGGTCATAGCTAACTTGTTCTAGAAGAGACAATATTCTTTAATCTGTTTTTCTAGAGGCCTCCAGTAAGAAAATGGAAATTCTAGGTTCCATAGAGAAAATTGAAAGGTGATAATAAGTCTATAGAAGTTTATTCTTACTACAAATTTTTTAAAAAATAAATAAGTAGTTCGTTTCAAGATTTAAGAGATGGCTGGGTTTCATCTCCTCCCTGATTGGCTCATGGAGATACATGTTATTTTTCTCAACTTTCTGACAAAACATTCTTATTGTTAATGGACAATTGCTAATAGTAATAACAGGTTATATATATATATATATATATATATATATATATATATATATATATATGATGCTGATTTCTTCTCAGAAACACTTTAGTATTTTAATGAAAACACATCTATTGTTTCTGTCATGCATTTCCTTTCAAAACATGGATTAGATTTCTCTACCCTAAAAATGTAAAACATGTTGATCCAAATCTTGAGACTTACCCTTAGATTCTATAATGTGGTCTTTCTTTTTAAATAATGAAATGTAACATGGTTGTGGAATTGATCATTTAAATATGTTACCTTCCAACTTTAGGGTTAGCAAATAACTTTCAGTGATTTATTTTAGAAAAGAAATTTGTTTTATTAGTTACTTATGTAATACTTAATATTTTTAAAAAATTGAATGCAATATAATTTCTTAATGAAATTCTGTTTTCCTGGGAATGCATTTTTATTTATTAATCATTTTATTTTTTATATTTAAAATCTTATTCCCCTTTCCTGTCTTCCCTTCACAAAGCTCTCACCTCATCTACCTCCCTTTTGCCCCTAAGAGAATGATCACCTACTCACCCACCCACTCCCGCCTCACCCCTCCATCAGCCCTCTTAGTTTTTAAATGAAGATGATCAAACAACTGTCAGTAAACCTTGATAAAACTTTCTTCTGATATCTCAAAGCTCTTTCTGTGATAAGGAATTTACCTTATTGTTCTAATTTTTAGAGGATTTTTAGTTACCCACAGAAGTTAGCAGGAGGTATATGTTTCATGTGATATACAAGCTATACCACACATACACAGAACTTCTTGAATGGTTTATTTTATGACATAATGTATATTTAGGTATCTTCAAATCTTTTCATGTTTTGACATTGATTTCCTATCAGAATTGAGTAATCCATTTTATATCATATACGTATTGTGGTAACTTACTATTTAGGATAATTAAGGTACTATAACTATCGCCTTGCCACAACATTATAATTTCCTTGTTTCTAAAGAACATTTAATTTCTTCTTTGTGACTTTCAACTCACTGTAGCAAGAAAGTCTTTTAAATCCTATCCAATCACTAATAATTTACGTGAAACTTCTGGGTATTACGGAAGCAGGGCAATGCAAATGATTTTCTAATTAGACTTCTTATATATTTTATGGGAAATGCTCTAAAAGATGGGGTGATTAATGCACAACAAGCACCTGATTTCACATTCTGAATGATTTCATCCACTTACTTTTCACGAATGATTCATATTTTTCAATAATAAGTCCAGGTATTGACTCACGATCTAATTTATTTCATATTGATACCATATTGATGTCTCTGCTCCACAGTTGATTTATGAATGCTACTAGATGATGTAGATGGTCATATTACTATCAAAACTTAAAAAGATATCATTCAGTAATAAATTTAAATTTTTCTACAATCACAAAGTATCTATAATTTTATAGAGCCCTCAATGTCCAATAATTTCATTAAATCTTAAGAACATGCTATTAATAAGCACACCAACATTTATTCACTTTGGTTCATGTTTTCAATGCTCACCCTAGTTCAGTAGTCTGAAAAATTGTTATTTTAATAGTCTTTGGATAGTTACTAACTTAAATAAGTGTTATTGTCCACATTCATTCCACTAAACACAGTGAAATCTATGAGATAGTTGGCATAGTTTCTAGCTATTTAAATACATTCACAATTTTCTACATACCTTAATTTCTGTGGGTAACTAAAAATTCTCACTAAATTTTTCATCTCTGCATTTCTCAGCTTAAAATTGAGCGATTGACATAGGTACAGCAATGTTATAAAACATTGCAAGTACAATGTCTTCAGGGAAAGTGATAGAAAGTCTAACAGGAAGATGTGAGGTCTGAAGACTAAAACTGTCAGGGTGATATGAAACCCATATGTAGACAGGGATCTTCTTCTTCCTTCTGCTGTGTTCTTAATGTGAATAAAATAATAACATAATAAGCAAACAAAACACAAGAACTACTAAAGTGACTATACCTGAATTGGCCAGAACAAGGACATCAGTGATAGAGGTGTGAGTAGAGGAAACTTTGAACAGATTTCACAGACATAGTGGTCAATGTGATTGGGGTGAAAAAAAGGATAAGATTGCAACAGAAAACTGAGGAAAACTGTTCCACCAGCCAAGCTGCTAACATTAGAAGTGGCATTTTGTCTTGAATGTGATGACCATGAAGTGAAGAAGCCTGTAAAAGGCCACAGATGATGCCTGTCAGGATTAATATTTCAATTATTCCAAAGAAATGCATAGCAAACACCTACAGCATGAAGTTAGCATAGGAGATGACTTGATAGTTGCAAAGTGATGGGGGTTATTGTGCCATACACAAAGTCAGAGGGCCAGACAAGGTTAAGTCCATACATCCTTGCCATTCCACATAAAGATTCTCTTCTACCTGGTTTGGGGAAAACGTAAAGTAGGGATGTGAACATGTCAACCCAATACTTTACTTCCTTCAGTGAACTGTTTCATTTTGTGTTAGACTAAGCTGCATGTGTGTACATGGTTAATGAACAATTCAATACCTTGGGGGCATGGTATGAATAGAAAACCCTGATGTAGTATTCTTCTAATAATATCCACATGTTACAAATATACACATACACACATGCACATGCACAGACTCACACACATGCACACTCACACACATGCACACTCGCACGCACACACCCACACCCACCCCCCCACACACATATATATGAAAACTAAGAAAATAAAACACACAAGCAACACTATAACATGTACTGTTGAATCTGATTAAGTATATTATTAACAATCAAAAGTAATGAACATTAATATTAAACTTGACTGTAATCTTTAATCAAAGACATAATATTTGCAATTAGTCCATGAGAGTTACTATTGATTTTATTACTATTGATTAAACATGGAATTTTATACCTTCAAATGCTTTGAGATTTAGGAAGACAAACATCCAATTTTAGCTTTTTCATGCTAATTTAGCAATGACTATCATATGATTTTCTTTCAAAAAAAATAGTTTGTGGCACCAAATTTTTCTCAATGCATTCTTCATCTCTGTGTTTCTCAGTGTGTAGATCAGAGGGTTGAACATGGGAGCTAAGATTGTGTAGAAAAGAGCAAACACTTTGTCTTCTGGATAAGTGGTGGCTGGTCTGATGTAAATAAAAAGTACAGGCACAAAGGATAAAATGACAACGGTGACATGAGAACTGCATGTGGAAAGAGCTTTGCCACGACTCTCTGCAGGATAAGTCCTGATGGTGAATAATATGAAAGAGTAAGACCACATCAAGACTACAAAGATGACCAGTCCCATCATGCCTGCATTGGCAACCACCAGAAGTCCAATTCTGTATGTATTGGTGCAAGCAAGAGTCAGCAAAGGATAAATATCACAGAAATAGTGATCCATCTCATTGTGGTCACAAAAGGGGAGGCTGATAGCAAGGAGGCTCTGGAAGAAGGAATGTATAAAAGCTCCAGCACAGCAGGCAGTTACCATGGCACGGCACCTCCCTCTGCTCATGATGATGGTATAGTGTAGGGGTCTGCAGATAGCCACATAACGGTCATAAGCCATCACTGTGAGTATGAGGATCTCAATCCCCCCAAAGAAGTGCATGGTAAAAAGCTGAGCCATGCAGCTGGTATAAGAAATTATGTTCCTTTCTTTGAGAAGATCAGTGAGAAACTTGGGTGTCACTGTGGAGGTGTAGCACAGGTTTGACAAAGCAAGGTAATTAAAGAAGGAATACATTGGTTGCTCAATTAATTGGCTATGTGTGATAGAAATCATAATGAGCATGTTTCCTCCCCAAATAGCTATGTAACACAAGAAGAACAACAGAAAATAGAGTTTTAATTTTCTTGTTCTGGGAAAGTTTTAACAGTATAAATTTAGTGATGTTATTGGTTCTTTCTATATTCCAAAGTCATGACCATTCAATGGCATTAGCTGAAAGGAAATGACAGAGAAATATTAGAAAGTTTTATTCATCATGGTATGAATCACAGCAAATTTTATAACTAGTATACTCATTTACCAAAACATGTTCGTATCCTCTCTCTCTCTCTCTCTCTCATTCTCTCTCTCTCTCTGTATATACAAACACACACACACTCTCTCTATATATAGAGAGAGTGTGTGTATGTATGTGTGTGTCTGTGTATTTCTAATTCTTATATTCTACACAGTATTTTCATCATTTGAAAATCATTTAAATAGCATTATTTTAGTAAAAGTGAATAAAATTAAAAATCACACTAGTAGAAAGCATAATCAAAGATGTGTCATTATGTTACACAAACGTGAGTTTAGGGGTGTGATCTCTTTATCGCTATGTAATTTGCCCATTTGGAAGCTTAGACTCACGAGACTTAACGTGAAGGAAGAAGCACAAATAAGTGTATAATACTGTTGTAAAATTAATATTTGTTGAAGAATTTTTACTTTTGATAGTGAAAAAATTGTTTATTAAATTATGGTCATGGCCTTGTAGGTGCTAAATCCAATCCTTGATCATGATTTGAAAAATATCATATACTTATGAAGCAGGACTAAGAACATCCTATTAGGTAAAGATTATGTAGTTGTACTATTTTCAATTTCATACATTAAAAGTAGTAATCCTTAGACTATAATGTGACAAGATAATGTTGAACACTGGTAGGAAACCAGTGTTCAAAGCCATGGATAGCACAAACAAAAGCAAAAGTTTAATTATGTCTACAAGAATATTTAGAATTTAGAAAGTTCTGAATTTGAAGAAATAACTTCATAAAAATAAGCATCAGACTAGATACTTGCACATCATGTAGGAGGTTATTAGTCTCTTTGTCCATTTTCTTTAAGCTTTAAATTCCTATTTCTTTCATTAAACTCAAACCTACTATGCACTGAACCTAGACTCTCCTCCATGGTAAACAAAAAAAAAAAATCTATGTAGTGCCATCTTGACCTGTGACTCAGGTAACCCAGACCTGCTCATTATTCTTCTACTCTTAGGAAACTTCCCTAGGCTCTGCATTATTGTCCAAATCTGCATTGCCTCTGAGTCCTGCATGATGCCACCAATACTATCATTATCTCTTCTGTGATTCTTCAAGGTAGTTCTTCAGACAAGCGGATACTCTGTCTTATATTCTTGCTGTTTTTCATAATTTTCTGCCATGGTCAATTTATTTCAGTGCACAAGCTTAATATTTAAACAAGTTCTGACCATAGTTTCATAGACAAAGATGCTAACCTCCCTCATGCTTACCCACTCTTCTTTAGTACAAGTATTTCTATTTTCAATCTTCCATGACCTCAGTGGTTAGATTAGCTAGGGTTCAATTGATAACAAGCACTAGTAGATGATTTTATGTAACCAGATACAAATATATAGTGATCACACGCTAAGCATTAAAAAAACTTATCAATGGTATATTAAAATTTAATCTGAATATCATCATTTACATAAAACAAATATTTTTATGTCTTTTCCATGGCAACAAGAGAAATGACAACCCATATGTGCTTACTTCTTACCTTTTTATCAAAATACAGTGTCAAGTGTTTTATATCAAATATATTTTATGTTACAAGAGCACAAGATTCTACTCACCAAACTTCAAAAATTGAAAACAGTTATTATTAATAATGTAGATATACACATACTGAAGACTATTTATATAATGCTCATTAAAGTTTTTGTTGCTATTTGAATCCTAAAAATATGCTTTACATGTCCAAACTTCTAACTTTATTAGTGTTTTTCTTTCCTTCCTTCCTTCTTTCCTTCCTTCCTTCCTTCCTTCCTTCCTTCCTTCCTTTCCTTCCTTATTTATTTGTAATTACTTATCAAAACACATGAAGTCAAAGTCATTACTCCTACTTTATATCAGAGCATCTCACAACCCTCAATAAAGAAACTTTTTCTTTCAGTAGATGGGAATCAACACAGAGACATACAACTGGTAATTGTTGACTGCTGCAGAGTGCTTAGCCTTACAATAGACATTCATACCTCACTCTAATGATCAGGATCTTTGCCAATGAGGAACAGGAAAAATTGTAAGAAGTGGTAGATAATGTCAAAGAAACAGTGTTTTCTGGATACAACCTGACAGTGGCATACAAGAATTCACACTGACAGAAGCAGCATGCCAAGACCTGTACAAGCTCTAACTATACAAAATCCAAGCATGAAGAGTGGACAGTAGATATAAAAATCCAACCACTGGCTGACAAGGTAGTAAAATTTAAATGGCTTCTAAGAGAGGGAGAGTCAGATGTTTTGTTTTAATGATAATATTCCTTGTATTCTGACCACACATGAGGGCAGGCTCCAGTTTCAAGATGAGCTGAGCAACACATACTGAACATGTAGGGAAAAAAAGAAAACAGCCAAAAAAGAGTAGCAGTCTCAAAGTTGTATGGAACAAATTGGGAGGGTTGAGAAGGTGGTAAGTAAATTAGTTGAGGGGCAAATATGTTCAAGCAGCAATGTAGGAAAATCTCAAAGAATTTATAAAAATAAGTTTTAGAGTAAAGATCAAATGATAAATTTACTTCAAAGCTTTGGATTGTTGTCTCACAGACAATCCTGAGTCTCTATTAATTTATTATAGTTTAGCTTTTAACTTCCTTTCACTGTATTATTCCATCCATTAACTGTGATCCTCATGATGTTTACAATCCTCTGACTCTGGGAAATTAACTCATGATGTTTTTCAATTTTCTTTCACCATTCACTACGTCTTTATCTCACAAGAAAGGCAGAAAAGGAAAAACATAATTTCTGTCTTAACATATTTTATTACTTTTAATTCACTTTTTCTTATATATCCTGTTTTCCACTATATAAATTAACAGTTCATTAATTTCTTGATACTCTTTATTCATAACTTTATTTGAAAAGTAGCAGATAAAACGTTTCCAAAATAGTGAAAGAAAGAGTAATTGTAAAATAGGTATGCACACACTTACATGATTCAAACTATACAAATATAGGCAATTCAATTTCTTATTTTTTGCTGTCACTATTACTTCCATCTGAATGACTATGTTACATACTAGATAATTCATCAATCTATATGTGTTCTGGCTCTAGAATTTCCCTGCTCCTTTCTGAGAAAAGACATATTCTCCTGTATCAAAAACATGACTGAGATTTGGGGGAAGAATGTTCATGTTTCTCTCCTTAAGATACATACCGATTGTGGTTTTAGAGGTGTAATATAGTTATAAATTCTCTGGTAAAATTCCAAGATGTGTAAAGTGCATTACTTGGGAGAATAGATCTCAAGGTTTCTGGGGCATATCCCAAAAGAACATTGGGCAAACATGCAACTTTAAATGATTTAATTCCTCTCAAACTTTCAAAAGTAGTTCTTCCAAAGTTACTAATAAGTTACACTCTGAAGTCTACATATAATCCTAGGGCTGACCTGTACTTCATAATAGTAAACTTCAAACTCTGTGCTATGGGTTGACACAAATTCCAAGAGATTCTTTTTTTTATTCCTTTTTTTATTCTTTTTTTTTTATTCCAAGAGATTCTAAAGCATTCTGAGTACCAAATGGCCTGACCTAAGATTTGATGTAGGGAAATAAGAACAATTAATGTGAGTTTGGTTAGAACAATAACCAAAACAGTTGTTCAAAGAGTAGGAAGGATGTTTGTATTGCATTACTTCAAATCTAAATGACCTAATACCTTTATCTGAGTTGATGTGGCAACTCATGTTTTATGGCTTAACAACCAAGTCTGTGTTTCATTCCTAGAAGAGAATCAATCAGAAGCTAGATCTTATGTGAGCAAGCTCCAAACTAGGGTTTATAGGGGAGAACTAGAACCTTAGGACTGGAGGAGCCTCTGCCATGTCACAGAGGCTAGCTTTAAACATAGATAATTAGGGAATCTGCTCAGTATTGAAGGTGCTATTCTCACAGAGGAGAGCTGTATGACTAAAGACTGAGGATAGCTATATGGTCAAGATTCTCTAGAGTCTTAGGTGAAGGGCCTAGCGAGCCTCTGGGGAAAACCTTAACACAGAACTTAAGGGTCAGCTTGGGTTTGGGACATGTGTTTCACTGAGACTGGAATTCAATCCGCTGGGTAAATGTTTTTAACCTGGTCTGACCTGCACATGGCATCTGGGGAGACTCACTTTGCAGCATGGGTTCTGGGGCCTTGATCATGCCAAATAATGGGTTTCCCTCTATTAATCAGAGTTAGTGAGCCAAGCAAGTTCTAGTATACATATCTCTCTTACATATTTTTTTTCCTGCTTTGCAGCCTGATAAGAGTGGGGAAAAGTTCCCTCATCCTTTTCTGAGCTTTAATTAATTTTTATGTTGCATCCAGAATCTTGAGTATCTCTTCTAGTATTCTTACATTTTTGTGGCTAGGGTAGAAGCTCAATTGACATTTTTTGGGGTCTGTGACATCTAGTGTCAGAAAACAAGACAGAAAAGAGATGGAAAGACTATGAGAGCTAGAGGATAAGGACTCCTGGTGATAATGTCTTCTAGATATGATGCTGATGCTGTGTCATGAAATCTCAAAAATATCCGCGGTTGAAAGAACTGAATAATTATACTCACAATCAATGAACATACCATTTGGATAGAGGATTTTTTTTTACAAGTTCCCATCACTAGATAAAGCCTTATAAGCAACCAATTGGTGCTCAAAGGGGTAAATCAACATTTGGCATGAACAAGCCCCCTGAAAGGGATCCAATATCAAGGGACCAGTCCTAAGAACATGTATATAAGAGGAACATTAAATGATGTGACAATACTAACTATAGAATAGGTCATAAGCTTGACAGTGAGTCGGGGAGGGACAATGAGGAACTAGATTGTGAAAAGAAAGGATGAGATGTTATAAAAATAGAATATTTATGTATGGAATTCTCAAATATTTAT